AAAATGAATCACGCTATAAAACCAATACCAATTTTCCTGGTTGGGGTCAACGTGGAAGTTCAGTGCAACCAAAAGAAATGTTTCTTCGGCATGTGTTGCCACAAGGCCAACAGAATAAAGAGGGCTATACAAGGAATCTTTACATAACTGACATTTTAATGTGGAGATGTGTGAGTACAGAAAGTTAAAAACAATGACCAGCAGACGAATCCAAGGCAACCACCCTAGCTGTAGGAGACGAGCACGTGGAACAACTCTCAAATCTCATTTTTATAGAACATGGAGGAATCAGCCAGACAGGATCAGCATTTCCTCAACTATTTGTCAGATCATGCCTCTCAGTATGGTGATGGTGCTTCTTCACTCAAATGCAGGTAGAGAAGTGTAAATATGCGGCCCATTGAATCAATTGAATTCTGTGTTAATGTGGAATGGAATCAGACAGTGGTCCAACCTCCTCCACTGTGATTGTGGTGCGCTGAGATTTTATAACTCAACTATGAGCAGGACGCACACTTTTACTTTCTCTGACAGTGTGGAAAACGTGAGGTAGGCTCAAACGTGAGACTAATGTAGCTGTGTTTCCAACACAGCAAAATGTACAATGAGAAATCACCCTGTATCCTTACTACTCTACCCCTACTGACAATGCCACAAGTCTGTAATTGGAGCGTAAACCAATGAAAAGCAGGGTTGACTCAGAGAATTAATACTGCGTTGTAACCTTTCTGTGCAGGAAGGAGCTCATCGCTGAACTGGACCAAGATGAGAAGGACCAGCAGAACACGTCCCGTCTGGTGCAGGAGCACAAAAAGCTGCTGGAGGAGAACAAGAGTCTGTCCACATACTACCAGAAGTGCAAAAAACAGCTGGAGCTGATCCGGGTCCAGCAACAGAAGAGACAGGGCACATCGTGATGAGACAGAGACATATTGACTGCCCAACCCCCCCAGCACTATAACACTACCCACTCATGCTCTGCACACACACATACACACACACTGATCCCAGTCCAGCTTTGTAAAGAGACCTGCATTCTACTGTGTCCTGCATGTTGCATCATAGACGCTCACTCGTGTCCAGCAGGAAGACGACGTCCTCTGTACATACATTTGCACATCCTCACAGTGTATTCTGTGACCGCAGACCAAACAATCACTGCACCCCATCCTGATCACCCCAGACCCTGCTGCCGCGCTCCGGGTCCCGTTCTCTCCGAGCGCGGGTTGTGTGTTTCTATATGTTTGCTCTCAGGGCCTCTGGGCTGCCTGGTCAGTGCGCGTCCACTCCTCATCGAGAGCGACAGCCACACCGTCCTCCAGAATGTGAAAACCTAAGACAAAGGCTCTTCAGAAAAACGTGTGAATGGTGTGCATAAATGTTGAGCAGTGAGGATGTTTGAAAGCAGCTGTGCAGCGCGTGCGTGGGATCCCCGTTATGCAAAACCACACACCCCCCTTAAACCAACGTATTTATCTCTAACCCCCTCCCTTTTCTAATCACAAGCATGAGCCCTTTCGTTCACTTCTTCACGGCGTTCGATGTATTGAGTTCAGAGAGGGATGCACTTCATGTCAGACACAGAAAAAGGAATAGCTGGGGTTTGTAGAGATCTGCTCTTCATACTCTTAAAAAAAACACAACTAGCTTCCAGAGCGAACACAGAGCCGTGGATCCCCTTTTATTTTGGCTTCAGTATTGTTTTTTGCGTGTAGATGTTTCTGTCTTTTCTATTCAGTAGTTCACTTTGTATGATAGCTCTTGTGTCATTTTCGCATTAGGACATATTTTATCTGGTCTGGGAATGCCCTTACGGACAAAGTAGAGGAGCCTGTAGCTCCCTCTACAGTATCTAGTTTGTTTTTAGTTCACATGTTGCCTTAGAAGTTGCCTGCATTTTAAGTGCTTGTTTTATGTGACATTTAGTGGGGATAAAAGCTAAAACAAAAAAAGGAAAAAAAAGATCTTTTTAATGTAATGGACAGTGAATGAAATTCTTTCCTGAGGGGAGGGACAAGGATGTATGTCAGTAAGCTGATCATGTAAATGTTTCCCACCAGCTTTACATCCAAAACCATGACATGACTCTAAAAACAGGATTGGATGTAATTTTTTTTCTTTTCTGGAGTTCATATCCTTCAAGTATTTTTGCACAATCACTTTGTTTTGTCTGGTCATCATGTACAAAATGTATTTTTCATTGAAGAAATTCTGGTTTTAAAAGTGTAAGACTTGATGAGTCTTACTTTTAAATCCGTTACTGTACAGGAAACAGTCTTCACTGGTTCTCCTCATGAGCTTTCTGTTCACTAAGGATTCATTTACCACACACCACACTGTTTGTTTAGTGTTTCCTGGTAAGTTATTAGAAACAGGTACAGTATATGACAGTGAGCAAGGCATTATGAAATAAACTGAATGGTGAAAAGATGTCATGCGTGAATGTTTGTATCGGACGCATTTACTATATACTTGTGTCCATTCTTTCATTTCTGCTGAACCAATCAATCAGTCAATCACTTTTCTGTGAAGCTGTTTACGTACGAGAACTGCATGTGAGGATCATATCAAACGTTTTTCATCTGTCCAAGTTTTGTCAGTGATAGTGTGAAATGCTGTCATCCTCCAAGGGCCTCCAAGTTTATTTAATGGTTGTTCATATAGGGAAAAATATAACAAACGGTTAAAACAAGGTTCACAGGCTACAACTGGAGAATGTAAGAATCACTAACAATAATGATGAATGAAAATGTTTAGAAAAAATAAATAGTTCTTGGTGAAAGCCACAGGGAGCCACGGGAGAGGGGCTAAAGAGCTGCATGTGGCTCTGGAGCTGAGGTTGCTGACCCCTGATCTGAGCTCATTTGCACTATCCATCCCTAAATGGGCCTGTAAGCAAAATCACTAGCCTAAAGCGGTGCTAGCATCTCTGTGAGCCTGTATGCCAGCACAGCTAAAATCCACATGTAACATGCTGATGGTTAGCAGTTTACCATGTTCATTGTCTTGGTTTAGCATATTTGCATGCTAACATTTGATAATTAGCACAAAACAAGTGTTGCAGGTATCTGGTGGTAAACCAAAGTATGGCACAAAGTGACAATTTGACTTGCTGATGGAACCAGATGAAAAGGTCAGAGGATCAAAGTTATTACAATTCACCCTGAGGGGAACATTAATGTCTGTAGAGAATGCCACGACAATCCATCCAATATCTGTTGAGACATTTCACTCAAAACTGTAAATGTCAAGCTTGTGGCGCTAGATGAAAAGTCAGAGGAAGTCATTAGAATTCATGCTGTGGCCACCACGGATAACATGTCAACTGGCACTAGAAATGTCATGGGAGTGGGTAGGATTCACTGACTGGGCACCGTGCAGGTCCAGACCATTGACGGTATATGGTCTGGACCAAGGCGGTGGACTGACAGACTGACGCTGCCATCCTTAGTCTTGGATGGCTTAGAATGTATGATTACAAAACTAGCATACATTATGAATATTTGTGCAGTAACACATGCCCCATATTTGAGGCCATTAAATCATTTTCCCCCCGAAAAATAATAATACCATTCATTACATACTGACTTATCTCAGGAAAAATTAGAATACTCTACATTTTATTTTATTTTTATTTTTAAAGGCCATACTGATATCACCGCGTCCTATGGTCTGTGGTGATTCCTTACCGGAGTCCAAAGACCTACTTGTATAAATTATGACAGCAGCATAATACCAACATCAGACAGGTATGAAAGGTATGGCTACAATGTAGAGTAAAGGCCTTACTGACTGAAAAATCCGTGGTGAATGTTTTGACAAAATAGATGAAGTAAAGGTCCACTTACAGGCTTTTTCCTGGGCTTTCAACTGCATCTGATGGTCTTTATCAGCATATAGAGTTATGTAGATTTCTCAGTTGTCTCCAGTGGAACACACAAGCAAATTCCAGTTGCTGATCATAAGACACAGTTGAAGGCTCCCAAAAAAGCTAGTAAGTGGACCTTTAGCTTATCTTTGTTTATTTTGGTAATCCACTGAAACTAAACTCTTTTACTCTCAGTTCTTGGGTTTGACCAAAAAGATCTTACCTCAGTGTCACTTACTACCCTTTTCTGGAGCTTTCAGCTGGATCTGATGTTCTTCATTGGCATATGGAGGATGCTTAGTGGTCTCTGAAGGGGACACCTGGACTATTTCCATTTGCTGAGTCCCGGTTGAAAGCCCTGAAAAAAAGCTAATAAGTTGTCTGTTTTGTCAAACCTTTAAACTATTTTACTCTCAGCTTTAGGGTTTAACTCAAGGTCCACTTCCTACCCTTTTCTGGAGCTTTCAACCACATCTGATTGAGTCTTCATCAGAATATGGAGTTTGCTTTGTCATGTAGATTTCTCAGTTGCCTCCAATAGGACACATGAGCTAGTTCCATTTACTAATGGAGTCCAGAAGACATGGTTGAAAGCCCTGGAAGAAGCTAGTAAGTGGACCTTTACTTCATCTATTTTCTCAAACTTTAACTTGTATGGTCTTCCCCAGTGGAGTTTGCTCAGTTGTCATGGCAATATCTTAGTTGATCATTTTAGGGTGGAACAAATCCAAACATCAACACCAAAACCCCAGTAAGTACAGTCTGGAGAGGAAAGAAAGAGAAGTGGAACATTGTGGGGGTTTTTTCCTCTGGGATTTTCTGACTGTTCCTTTTGTTCCCCTCAGAGACTGGTCTGTATTTATATCATCTCTTTTAATACATGGTGGAAACATGATATAGTACTTTATTGTATTTAACACTGCTTATAAAGTAATCAGTGTGGTATAGTGTCTAATAAAACTGACATGTTTGTAACATTAGCAACAAGTTTTAGGGTCGTGGTTCCAGTCATCACCAATAAGTCCACTGTAGCCACATAGTACCTATAAAGGGACATTACTATTCTTGGGTCTTAAGTGAGACATTTCTGATCATATTTTTAACATTATCATCCTAATAGCCTATCTTTTATTCATTTATAAAAAGACAGAAAGAAATCATACATCCAAATCTTTCACCAGCACAAGCCATTAAGACATTCTGTGGTTGCAGCTTATTGAATGTGAGTATTTTCTGCCTGATCAGTTTGATAAAACAGCATGTACCTTAACAGCTGTGTGGCCCATTTGATATTGTTTCATGTGACTTTGGGGTTAAAGTCTTCAGTCCTTCCAGACTTAGGTCATCATTATGATGCTCTACCGCCTGTCCCTGCCACAGTGTCTCTGTTCAGCCAGCAGGTGGTGCTAAACATCCAGTCATTGTCAGCATCTTGACGTTATGGAGCTGTTTTTCACAGACAAAGAACATTACATCTTCAGTGTATCAATGGCTGGGATCAAATGAACCTTTATTATGTCATGCTACAAGGCCCGGCCCGACCTACTTTATTGATTGTGTGAACAGCCGCTCTTTAGAATTGAGCTGATTAATCTAATATAGGAATATATTCAGTTACATAAGCCGCGTCTGGCCTTTGATAGCGAAGCCCCCGAATAGGACCCATTTTGCAGTCAGTGAGAGCCTAGCATTCTGGTTTACATTTCAGGTTGAAATTATCTTTGCATTCTGCTGACAAAGCCTTCTGTTCTGTTTAGCGCCTGTGTTTGAAGTTGACAGTTAAATGGGGAACAATGAGTCATTTCATTGTGCAGAAGTGATGTCATCTTCCTTCTCCAGCCAGGTATTGTGTGTGTGCTCCTGCTTGCCCTCGCTGAACCTGTGGAAATAAGGAAGACAGCATATTGTTGCCAGCTTTGTCCTGTGGTCTTTTGTTCTCAAAAGGACACGTAGTGTTTGGTCCGCTGTGGGCTGGTAGGAAATTGAGGGCGATGGTCTTTGTGTGTGTGTGTGTGTGTGTGTGTGTGTGTGTGTGAGAGTGAGAGAGAGAGAGCGAGGAAGGAAGGCAGGTTACTGTCTGTTCGTGGTGGTTTGTTTGGTGTATGTTTTTCACAAGGACAGATGAAATTGTAAACAATGTCACATTTGGAAGACCTGCCCGTGTAATACAAGTAAGGGCTTGGGGAATGCTTTCCAAATGTATATTGTAACCACTTGCAAAAACAAAATAGACTTTTGGATCACGACACTGACAGTATGAACGTTTTCTTAATAAAAACATTAGTCCTAAAGGGATAATTATAAATCTGTAAAAAATATTTATCCAATATAAACAAACAAGATTACAACACTTGACAAAGCAGATTCAAACACTTCAACAGTTTCCCGATTACTCCGTTGCAACGGAGATTTTGTCACCAAAAAGGTAATTTGAAGATAAAAGAGGTTTGAACGCTCTTTTTTTTAAGCACTCCATACTCAAGGGGAATGGCGGAGTCTGCCCCACAGCATATAACAACAAAACTTAAACTGTGTATACCAACTTAAGCACGGAAATCATAAGGGCCCTTCAAATACCACATAAAAAATTTCCATTTGTACCTGAGACCATACTTGACTTTAACGCTGTAGGATTTAAAGCCCTCTTCTTAACCAAAATATGAGTAATGTGGTATTGTTCTCAGTTGTGCGATGCTCACCATCATTATTGTTGTGTATAGCTTGTAGTTTCTTGGTTGTGGACAGCTTCCTTTAGGTCAAGTCAAGTCAAATTTTATTTATAAATCCAAAAATCAATAATTTGTTTTTCAAGGGTTCGTTTAAAAAAAAAAAAACAATTGAAACAACATTCAACACCGTCTGTCCTTAACATTCCCTCGATTTCAAGTAAGGAAAATACTTTCTTTTAACAGGAAAAAAATGAGAAACCTTACGAAAAGCACAGAGGAGGGATTCCGGTCTCCCGGAACAGACAGACCAATGCAATAAGATTGGAGATATTCTTGCTTTGTTGTATCCACAACATTTGTTCCCAGAGGTTGTGGGCAACCAAAACAAGTCCCGAACAGACGAAGGAATTATGCCAAGGCCCGCCATTCATGTGAACGTTAAAAGCAAAGTAATTAATTGTCAGCCCTTTTGCGCCAATCATTTTTCTGCTGGTGTAAAGTAGGCCTGAGCAATCCTTCACAATTAACAACAAATCTAAAATCTGTAAAATATTCAATTAAACTTTGAATCATTAATGACCAAAAACAACATGAGGAAAAACAAGATCTTGAATGAAACAAAAGTCCCCAGATCAAGGGTTTTGTTAACTAGAGGGGTGGCCAATTGGGTAGTAAGCTTTTGCCAACCCTAGAAAAATTGCCAGGCCATTCCAGCTGCCAACCCCTGTTTTGTGTCAAATAACTAGCGTGAAAAAAACTAAATGTATTTAAATGAATCTGAAAAAAATGTGTATTTGGAAAATTTCTTAAGATTTAAGAAAAATAAAAACAATGATTTCTAATTCCAACCTTTAGATATGTTATTTTTCAGTGCTTTACTAAATGTGCCACAAG